GGAGCGAGGAGAGCGCGTCCCTCATGTGCGCCCTCTGCAAGGAAAGCTTCGCCTCCGCCTGGGACCTCATGGTACACGCCCAGGCCGCCCACATGGTCAACATCTACCAGCTAGGATCCAAGGACGCCGGACAGGTACGTATCCTGCGCGAGGCGTTTGCAGGACGTGCGCCACAACGCAGTGCAGAGCTTAATCCCATTATTATCGCAGCCACATTTTGTGCAATACTTTTATTGCAGGGTAGTCACCATGTGATCGTAGAAAATAGGGTTAAATGAATCATTGCAGTACTCGACAGTGTGCATGTTTACAGAAGATAGTATCTATCATGCATGTTGATTCCGTAGTGTTCGTGGCTATCACTTTATTACGATTCGCAGAGATTATATGGCATACTATTATTCTTGATCGCAATGGCCTGTGATTTATAAGGCGGTGGTGACACTGATTGAGTAATGATGATGATTATGGCAGTGATAACAGCAGTAGCAGTTGTTGCTGGACAAGTTAGATAATGTGATAACCATAATTATAATGACAGTAATAATGGCTACTACAGCTAATGATACTGATGCAGGAAGTGAGTAAACGCACGAGTAGTAGCACCTCCGCACAGCCACATCACAGAACGACCTCACACTGTAATTATTCGACCACACAATCCACTCTCCACACACTCAACTTGGCCACATGCGAGTCGAGCGCGTCATTTAACACACAGCATGCTGACTACTTCGCTCCTTAGGCACTGCACCCTCGCACTGCTTTAACATCAAGCTTCCTGACGTTAATGCATGGGGAATATAGCCCTGTGTCAGCTGAGGATATACATACATTATACATGCGCAAAAGCTGCTGTGGGAAAATGTGTATAGGCGTATAGTGTTTACCTTTATGTGTTTTTTAGCCATGGTGATGAACGCTGACATTTTGTTGACATTCTTGTGGAAATTAGCATCTGGATTTTTATTCGTTTTTGTGAACTTAACCACAATAGGCAAACAAGTGACTTTTGTCTTCCCCGCAAACAGGACAGCGCCGCGTGCAGCACCGCGGGCGAGAGCACAGCGGGAAGCACAGCCGGCAGCGACGTGGGCGTGGATATGGGCGGCGTTGACATGAGCGGCGAAGCGGGCGGCGAGGCAAGTGACTCCAACCAGACAGAGGAAGAACCACGCACGGAGCTCCCCAAGGAGGTAAGGCGGAACAGGAGGAAAGGGCGCGGAAGGGGGAGAGAGGAGGAAGAGGAAAAACAGGAGCAGGGAAAAAGGGAAAGGGAGGAAGAGGTAGGCAGGAGGAAAAGGACGAATAGGTTGGAGAGAGAGAAGGAGGAAGTTGGAGGAGGAGGAAAAGAATGGGGAGGCGAGATGGGAGAGGAGAAGGAGGAATGGGAAGGGGAAGGGGAGAGGGAGAGAGAGGGAGAAATGGAGGAAGAAGAAGATAGGAGAAAGGGAGGGTGGAATAAAAAAAAAAAAAAAAAAGGGAGAAGGCAGGCATTAGAAAATGTAAAGAGAAAAAAATGAAAGGGTTTATATAGTGCGAAAAATGACAAAGTGGCTGGGTAGAACACGAAAGAAATGGATGGAAAAAAAAACCGGAAGCAGACCGTAAAATCACCATAGGAGAGTGACATAAAAAAAAGCGTAACCTGCATTTACATATTGCCTCCCTCGCCCTGTCAAAAAAAAGCTTGTAAAAAATCTTCCACGACGGCAGATGGGAGTAAAGCAACTTTAAGACAACGTCGCGAAAAGGGAGGAAGGAGAGTGAGAAAAAAAGTATGATCAAGAAAGAGGAGATACCTGCGACAGGTAACAATAACACATCACGACGTTTGCAACAATAGTTAATTACTTCAAGCATTTCTAGCACGAAGATTATTATTTCATTTATTTATATTTATTTATTTATTTATTTATTTTATTATTATATATATTTTTTTACTTTCTGACATTTCGGAAGGGGGAA